CATCCGGGGGCACGTGGAGGGGGAGGGCAGCTCTCACCACTTCGTGCCTCTCATCTGGAGGCAGCACAACAGCTCTGTCCTGAACCCGCCCCACCCCAGCTGGGCGAGCAGCAGCAGGGCACAGCCCTCGCTCCCAGTGCTGCCACGCCCACCTACAGCAAGCCACGGCTTCATCCCATGTCCCACTGCCCTGGCTGGTCTAGTGACTGCAGGGCATAGACCCCACTTCCCAACACTGCTGCGCCCACCTGGAACGCACCACAGTGCAGTGCCAACCCTGCCTGCCCCACACAAATCAGGGCACATGCCCCTCCCCTCCCCACCCCGTACCCACCCAAACCAGTGGCGTGCAGTGGCAGAAGCTACCCCCACACTCCCCGCACAAGCTGCGCCTTCGTCCCATGCCCCCCCTGCCCCAGCTGGGCAGTGCTTGCCCCAGCCCCTGCCCTAATCCCTCCTTGGCTGCCAAGGCATCTGCCCCTTCCCCTTCTACCACACCAGACTTACAAGCTGGATACAACTGTATCAAGCGTCATAAAGGAACCAATCCCCAATTTGTAACGTTGTTCCTATGGGAAAATTGGTTCCAAGTTATGAGGTTTTGACTTACAACACATTTGGTTTCTGAAAACCGTGGGGCAAGTCTGAGGACTACCTGTATCCTTTCGTTTACAATGTTGCTGTCTGTTGGCCATTCCTGAGAATGTCTCCCTTCTAGGTCACAACCCCACACACTGTTTGAGAGTAGATTTTGTTTTACAAATCTGAATAAGAGATGACCATTTAACTATAAGTACAGGACCAATGAAACAATCTCTTTTGACTATTTTGACTACTATTGCCTATTTTGCTGTGTTTTTTAAACTTAATATATAATCTAGAAAATTAGCACACCTTCCAATATAGTTGTGTGTGTTTCTCCTTTGATCCTAAACTGAATAATACAGTAATAGGCTCCTAGCACATTAGTAAAGCTCAATAGTTTCTCTTTAACTGGAGAAAAATTAGTTGCTGTATATATGATGCTCTACCACACAACCTTCATGCCCTACCCCTCACCTTTTCAAAATCTGCCCCAGGATACACTATTCCAAAGGAAGGTAAGCATTTACATGCACAGTTCACTACTACACGCAGGCACAAGTACACCAGAGCAGCAGACGTGTACACATCATGCACACACACACACTACACATACACCCAATATTTTAATTCTTTTTTGCATCGCATCCATAGAATCTAAGCTCCAAATGCCGGAAAATTCATCATTCCTCTCAGACTGCTTAGCTACTATGACTTTCAGAAACAACAACAGCAGTAAAATACGTTTTTTTCCTTCACTCTAAATACATTCACAGCATAAGAACCATCATATTTATTAGTGTGTTAAAAATGCACCAAGGAGTTGATAATGGATTAAGCTACAAGAGTTAAATAGCACCGCTGAGATTTCCTGAGACTGCTGCTATGAAATAAATATTCAACCCCAGCAAATCAAACTGATAGGGCAGCTTCCACTGTACATCATTGCCATGTGCTCTTTGTACTTTATTCATATTTGCTAAACAGAAACATTAGGAGGGCAATCCCTTTGAACACGCAGACATTCATTGTGTGCGTGTGTACATGTGCATCTATGGGAAAGAGCACATGAGGGTCAGCATCCCTCGCAGATCTGCTGCTGTGGTGCTTACAGAGCTCTGTGGGAGAAGCAGAGATAATGGAGCCAGGAGCTTGCAGAGCATGTTCTAAAGAAGTTGTGGGATCTGGATCCATGGGATTATTCAAGAGCAGGTTAGAAAAAAAAACTTGCCTGGGATGGATTTGTCAGGGATGATCCTGTCTTGAGCAGGGGGCTGAACTAGATGACTTTACGAGGTCCCTTCCAGCCCAACTTTGCTATGATCCTAC